GTTGCGCAATTGCGCTGCCTCCATGTCCCCAGCTGCAAAAGGACACCCTTAGTGAAATGCCTGGAGAGTGACTGATGAAAAGCCCAGTGTGAATGTTAAGTAGTACTTCATTACTGCTGTTCCTCTCACCAGAGGCAATGATTTTAGGGGGCAATAGAGCTACAAGAGCTAATTACTCCTTGGAAAAAAAAATAGCTCATGCTACGTACAGTAGGAGGAACCTGTATTTGAAAGGAGAGGGGTAGTGGGAGAAGCCTTCTGTGAGCAAACAGTGGCTTTGCAAGCTAATTTCCTACACAGAAGGGTTCCTTCTGGTCCCTCTGAAATTGCAGGGAAATCATGGGAGATCCAGCAAAGATTGATGCAGCCTGATGCTTGCTATATTTTTCCTGGAGGCCTTGGCAGCTCTGTAACTAGGATCAGTGCGTTCGAACCTCCCTCTGGCCCCTGTGTACTGCCCAGCAGTGACACCAGCATCAGAGAGACCCTTGCTTCATAATTTGTCAAGCAGAACTCTGCTGAGAAACCAAACCTGCCCCACTGCTTTCCTTGCTGTGGCAATGAGAGATATTCCTTTGCTGAATAAGCTCTCCGTGTCAGCAGGAGCCTTCAGGACTCCCGAGTGTAGCGTACCTTATAGACCTGTAATCCAAGAGGTACATTTGCAGAGGAATAAGGGAACCATATTTCTATAGCATAACATATATATGTACTTATATATAAAAATAAAATAAATGAGCTGGCTTGCAACACTAGGTGGCAGAGGTGGGATCTTTTCTGCTCTGAGCGCTGTCCTATAAGGCATTGCTTGTTTAAGTACAGTCGCATTTAGTTGGAGCTGCAGGAGAGAGACGGAGAGATTCTCTGTGTTTACAGCCAGCGCAGGCTACGGTGAGCATCTAACCTGCCCCCCCCTTTCTCCAGCACTTGAAGGGGAGAGTGCGAGGCTATTTGGGAATCTGGGCACCACAGGTCAGCTTTCGCTGCGACTGGATTGTCAGAGCTGGTAAAGCAGAGCCCAGGGGGACTGAAGGGAGACACGAATCCCATTTTCTTTGAGAAGGTGGGGGGGAAAAAAGAGAGGAAAAAAAGATAAATCGAGAGAGAGAAGTGAAGAGACGGAGAAAAAGGCAGAGGAAGCGGAGCGAGTGAGAGAGAAAGCATGAGGACCTACTGGCTGCACAGTATCTGGGTGCTGGGATTCTTCCTGTCCCTCTTCTCCTTGCAAGGTAAGTAACGAGTTATTTCTTACAATCTCCCCAATCCCTTCTGCTTGAATTGAGGCTGATGGACTGAAGATAGCCTGAAACATGGAGCTGGAAGCTAGAGCTTCCTCTCCCCCCTTTTTTCTCTATACCTTCTCCCTCACTCAGGAAATAAGCCAAGGAGAGATCACTGCTGGTGAATCCTATGGTTAGAGGGCACTGCATGTGACTGACTTCGCTGCTGTATTTATGCTTTAGCAGAAGGGGGAGTTGGGGGGGGCACAGTGAAATTTGCAAAGAGAGGTGGGTGAAGGTGGGTACCCCCTCCACCCACAGCACTGTTTCTCAGCACTTTGGGTCACAAGTAGTGATGCTCCTGGATTCTTCACCTTCCGGAGGAATTCAGTGTTAAGTTTCTTCTGCTGTTTTGGGCTTTTTTTTTTCTTCTGCTTTATTTCTATTTTGGTTTTGCCCAGAGAGGCTGAGGTTAGAGGAACCTCTATATCTGTCTGTTAAAACAGTATGTCCTTCCCTTTTACCATGGTGGGAGGGGGAAGAGAGTGATGGAGGAAAGACGAGAGAAGAAAATTTGTTGGGTACGGGGTTTTGTTCAGTGGAGAACTGCCAGCTGGGTTTCTTGCTTGAAGAGCCAAGTGTGAGTACAGAATTTAGTTTGAAGTGATGACAGGCATGCTAGCTGGTTTCGAGGTGCTTTCTGTAAACAGGAGTTAAGGGTTAATGCATCCCGTGCTGTATGCCTAAATACGTCACGCATGTACATAGAAATCATAGCCCTCCAAATCACAGCTTGGACATGAGCCACACTCACACACAGCAGTGGTCCTTCACACATACACACATACACATTCGTGAATATAGCAGGGGAGATGAATAAACTCACTCTGGCACATACAGTTCTAGCTCCCTCGCTCATGCAATTCCTGGAGTGCCAGTCTGCTCTCTTGCACTCACATCCTCTCTCCCTCTCTCCCCTCCCTGCCTCCTCCAAGCCTTTTCTTGTGCTCCCTCTCCATCCTGCACACTAGTGCTCGTGGTTGCTTACATATAGAAATCCCTTGCTTATCCCGCTACACCAGCCTTGCAAGCCTGCATGCTTACACATACACACGTACAGAGGTGAATATATAAATAAAGAACATATATGTACTCTATCTGGCTTTCCCTGTGCCTCATGGTATTGCATTTGCAGTGGTACCCTCAGAGGGTATTCTCGCTCTGTCTTCACCACACACACAGCCCTTTTCTCTCACTCTTGTTCATGCTAGTGCATGAGTGCCATGCATGTACATATGCCCAGTCACAGCATCCTCGCTTCCCCCTAGCTCCTACTTTTACACACTGTCTTGCGTGTACTGTGCTCTTCTATTTTGTGTCTACTAAGCAAATTCCCATACAGCATGCTCCCCTGTCACACACATGCTTTCTGTTGTAGCCTCTCACTTACCTGCCACCACTACAAGCACTCACTATGAAACCCCTCTATTTTTATCACCTTCTCACATTTACCGAGCGTTCCTTTTCATACGGTCTCACTTCTGTCTCTGGTTTGCACACACATGCTTCTCACTGTCACATATTTTCTCTCAAACTTGCATTCCCTGATTGTGAATCCAGCACTTTCCAGCTGACTTCCTCTCTGTGAAGTGGCTATTTCTGACAGGGGAGAAGGATTTTCTCCCAGCACATCGGATGTATGTGGGGTGAGAAGAGAAGCAGTACTACTAGTGTAACATAAGCTGCTAATGTCAGCAGTGAAGTTGTATAGCATGATGTGAACTTCCCCCTGCTCTTGAGGAATAGGCACAGATCTGTCAAGGAAGATGGACACTGGCAAATCACATCAACTCTGAACATTGTTTTTCTCACTGATGAATGTTTCCCAGCCTGTAGTCAATGGCGCTTGCTTCATGCAGTGTTTCCAAGTCAGAAGCCTTCCCCAAGTCGTGACCAGAGCATCCCGGTGCTAGCACAACCAGGAGCTGGTTTAGTAATTTCTTGTAACTGTAGCTTATGCCAGGCTCCAGGTTTTATCTTTCAGTAAGCTACTATTGCCACACTTACATCAGCCCCATCCATTCTGATTCTGGAGACATCAGGGAAGGGCTTTTGGGGGCAGTTGTATCATGTATCAATCCTGTTGCCTTGCCTGGGTTTTAGGATGGGATGGGGAGGTTGGAAGAATAAACCAGACCCAATCCACTGCTGGATCTAGCTTCATAGCCAGCAGTAATTTCCTTTCTGTGGTGCGGAGGGTGAGAGGATGTAGAAAGAGGGATACTGGGGCTGCATGGGAGGAGCAGGGCACCTCACAAGGAAGCCCAAAGACATTTGAAGGAGTTAAAAGGGGATAGGAAAACATTGTGCCCTTAAAAGAAAAACAACAAAACCACACCACTTATTTCTGATGAATTGTTATTCATTGAAAGCTGTGGTAACAAACACTGAACAGTTCTGTAACCCTGCTGAGCACGATTCAGTGGAGCTCTTACCCTAGGAAACTGCAGCAGTGGCTCTGACAGGCAGTGACCCCAGTCGGATTGCTTCCAAGTGCTTTCTGAGAGCATCTCTCCAGAGCCGGCCAGCTGAGTCGGCGCCTCTGCAAGCTACCCAAAACTTGTCCGTGCCTTCTCTCCCCCCTTTTCCTCACTGTCCGCTTGGGGGTGTACCGCTGAACTCAAAAGCAGCTCCTTGTCTTTTTCTGTTCTCCCAGTGAGGGGGTGAAGGGGAGCGATGCCAGCACTGCTGGCATGGCTGAGCTGAGGCTGAATAGCCCACGATGGGAGTGCAGGGGAGGAAGCACAGCTGAGGCTGGCAGGAGACCTACAGGCTCCACCGTGCCAAGTGGCCAACACAGGCTGCGTCCTCCTCCAGTGTCTCTGCCAGGGGATGTGCAATGGGTTGCCTGTCCCCCGCCTCCCTGGGCTCAGGAGCTTTGGCGCAGAGACAGGCTTTGCTCCTTCTCCCTTAGGTTAAAGCCTCCGAGTCCTTCACAGAGGGTTTTTAACGTTTTCTTTTCTTCCCTGATCCTGATTTTTATCCCTTTTCCTCTTTCCTTAATTTCGTGATTCAGGATTCTCACTGCTGCACTTCCAGGGCTCATTCCAAAGCAGGTGGCTCAGAGGCAGGAAGGCTGATCCTCCCGCTTGCTGCACTAGCCTTCGTGCCCTGTGGGTTTGGAGGAATAAAAGTACCTACACACCCCAGCACTGCTGGTGGGTGGGATTTTTTAGTGGCATGCTGCAGCTTTCCCCTCGGATGGATTCATCTCTTAGAATGGCGTGCCTCGTAGCTTCTGATAAAGATCAGATTCTTGAATTAGTCTCAAAAGCTCAATGTTTCCTTTCCTTATTTTCCTCCCAGGTCAAAAACTGGGGGTATGGGGATAGAGTGGAGCAGCAAAAGATCTGGGTCTATCAACCATTGCATTTTGATAATTTAGAGGAATTTTGTGTTGCTATTTTTGCTTTTGCTTACTATTATTCCAACTTAGCTGTCTATATGGAAAGCAATTTTGATTCTCGCCCTGAGCATTTGATTTAAAACGTGAATGCAAACAAATTACACAACATTTTCTTCAGCATTGCTTTACATAGAGAATTCTTCTAAACAAACTCCCTTGAAGAATAACAGCTGCTTCAATTCAGCAATTAACTAAAAGATCCCAGCTTGTTTTAATAAACCTCCCCTACAACCTCACTTCATTGGTTAATTGCAGGAGACTTTGTGCTTTAAAACAACCCAAATCAAGGCACCTTTAGAACCAGTTTAGTGAAAGAGCTGTTTTAAGAAAGGGCATGCAGAACTGCTCTGTGTAGTACTGGTAGTTTTCATTTAGAATGCATCTTTTGAGCTGCTCAAGGGTGTTCACAAGTGGGGGCCAAGTCTGATGCAGGAAATCACAGAAGCGCTTGGGTAAGTGGAGTAGGTTGGTACACAGAGCAAAGGTTATCTGTAAAGTCTCATGTTCTAGAATGTGATGGGGCAATGCAGGTGTGAAAAATGATGTGTTTGTTAATGTGTGAGGTTTGTCCAATCTGTATGGATGGAAGCTGGTACCCAAGTGTTTCAGTGCTGATAATGGGTAATGGATGGGGAGAGCAGAGGGAGGAGCAGGAATGTATGTATGTGCAAGTGGTGACATTGTGGTGTCTGGGTAACAGTGTGGGGGGCATTGTGATGCCCCTGGATAAGGCTTAGATATTGCAGACTAGAGAAAAAAGAAGACTTTTCCTGCTCTCAGGAATATATTTTTTCTCTCTGTTTTCAACTCTTTCTATCAAACAAGGCAGGAGAAACTATCACAGGCTGGTCTGTATTGATGAGGTAACAACTCACTCAGCTGCCTTGCATTTCCTTAAATGATGAAGAAGTTCAATACCTAAAACAAAACACTTTTCTTGGAGGCTTAAGGGAGGGAAGAGCCAGAGAAGGCATTTTATCTGCAAACGGGGAGCATTACAAAGATGTCCCAAGTGTTTCTTCTGGTCCTATCCCAGTGCTTGCAGACCATTTGAGTCAATAATTACCACACCAATAAGGACCCATTTACCCTAGCTGTTATAAATCTCAGCACTCGGATAAGTACTCAGAGGGCTTTACTAAGATAAGTAGAAATTTGCTTCATCTTCTAGTTTCAGAAATCTCCTCTTGAACAAGGATCTCACTAGTCTTGTAGAAAACACACTGGTCCATATGTTTGTGGGTGCTCCTTCTCCGCCTGTGAGCACCCATGCATGTGCTTGTGGCCTGAGAAGGAGATCAGTTCTTTAGGAGTTACTCTTTCCACCTCTTTTTACCTGTAAGCAGTAGGGCTTCTTCCAAGGATTAGGATTCCAGGGTGGGGAATATGGCTGTTGTCATCTTAGTTTGATGTCAGAACCAATGCTTTGGAAGCTTGCATCATTATTGTGTGCCACCTGTGTCTCCTGTAAGCTTTTGAGTACACCGAGGCTCTTATCTTGGTGGTGGGGACTGTCCCCTTCCCTCAACTGATTTATCCTATGCAAAAGGGATTTGCTTAGGAATGGGTTGAAGCAGGGGTGCTAATGTGTAGGTCCAGATGTGATGTACCAGTAGCTCTGTGCAGCTACTTAGAGAGGCTGGTGAGGCAGTGCTGGTGATGATGATGTGCAGCACTGCTTACTGACCTGCATAATGTGAAGTGAAAGCAGGTGGCAAAAGGTGATTAAGAGTGAATGTAAGGGAAAACTCCTATTCTGGACAGATCTGAATACCTGATGGGCTTTCTTGTGGCAGATCAGCTGAGGTTGTTTGCTGACACAGATTGTTAAAGGGTTGAATAATCTGAGTGAAATCCACAATGGTACCAGGCAAAGGCATCTTGGAAGAGTTGGGAAGACCTTCCATGTGTGCCTTTGAATATGTGGACATGTGCTTTGTGAAAGATTGTCTCCCTTGCATGCAGGGTGCTGCTGGGAGGACGCAGAGTTCTGCTGTCTGCAGTCCCTATAGGAAGCAGAAATAGTTGCGTCTTCAGTATCTCTTCTTTAAAGAAGTGACATAGGTTTGGGTGCTGTTCAGACTCAATGAGCAATGGCTTTGACAGCTGAAGTGCTCTTCCTGCTGTCATTTTATCCAGGGTAGAATGAAAATATCCAGAACATCAGAGACCATCTAGTCCCACTCTGTATAATCAGGGCTGTGGGCTCACAGTCTGGGCTTTTGTGGTTCCAAGCTTATAAAAAGAATCCAAAAGAAGCTCCCTGGAAGATGGCTTGTTCTTGAAACCTGCTGTCTTCCCTAGGGTGTGCTTCTGTGTGACCTTATGGATGCAGGCTTCTTCATTTCTTTCAGGTTCAGCAGATACCTCCCACAAAAAAGAACAGCCTCCTCCTTTTCCTGGTGATGTGTTCTTGGCTATTGGGAGGGGAAATATGTGGCAGGCAGGTCATGAGCAGTGGGATGAGGAAGGGGGCAAGTAAGGAGACAAATGGAAAGCTGTAGAGCTTTCCAAACAGGAAATCAATAGCATATCAGCATGCAGCCACTGGGATATGAGTATGCAATGTAAGCATGTAATCACAGCTCCCTCCCCTCTGCCCCTTAGCACTTACATTGATGGTGAGTTGCAAACTGGAACCAATTAATCCTTACAACCTGCTAAAACAATAAGTATTAATATTCTTCTGCATGGTCTCTGGCTGCTGCACCTGCATGGAGCTTGGCTGTGCTTGGCCCTCAGCAGTTGACCCAAAGCTACATCGAGAGTGAGAACAAGGGTCTCTCTGACCATAAGCCTTGCAGCTTGTGAACTGCATTACCTGATTTCCATTTGTATATGGATGTTGGTGAATTTGACTGTGTAGATATATATTCAAGTGCCTGACAAAGGAGGGATTTGAAGGTGTGGGGTTATTCCAAGGACCATCTGTGATTATTATTTTTTTATGTGAAAATGTGTTTAGATTTGTGTCACTGTGGATATATCTGCTTGCATGAGTATGTACTCTTTGCCTTGTAAAGCTACTTTGCTGTATGATAGAATCACTTGCATCACAACATCCAGTTTTATTTATACCTGTATACATGATATGTGCATGGAGGTGTAATCAAAGACCTTTGGGTAACTCTTATTTGGCTTTTGGGAAGATGCATGTAGGGTACAGAAGAGGGTGGTGGGTGTGTATGTATATATATGTGTATGTGTTTGAATGTGTGCATGTGACACAAAATGCCTAAGTGGTGTGGTAAAGATTCTTGTGCCATGTTAACAGATCTGGTTCAGAGTTGAGTTTTGTGCAAGGGAGATGCTATGAAATGTTAGTTCAGTAGGTGAATGCACCATGATTACGGGTAGGAATATCTGTGTAGCTGTGTAAGCTTTTGGAATGATCATTATACACAGCAGATTTGCATCCCACCTTGACATGACAAGCGATTGTACCAGTGAAACAGAATTGGCTTGGTTACCCTTCTTACCTTTCTGTGATAGCCTCAGTGTAAGGTGGCAATTTAGTCATGTTTCAGTTACCTGGGCATGAAACACAGGGTCAAGAGTGGAAAGGACATGCTTAACTTTTGAACTCTCGTGGGGGAGTTTCTGGGGACAAAAGAAAGAAGAGGCTAAAATGAGGTTTACTTACATGCGCAAGTTGCACTGTTTCAATTAGACCGTGTATACAGAAATGCTACAACCTGATTGAGCCAACCTTTCTTATGTAGCTATGCTACTATGTGCTGTATGAGCAAAGGATTTCTGGCCTGGGTGCAACCTGAACCAGTAAGTCTGTGCTTTGGCTGTACCTGCATTAACACAGCCTAGTTGGTTTAACTACCTCAACAGCCCAGATTCTCACCAGCATAGATGTGCTTTGTCAAGTCTTGGGTTTAGGCAGCTGAGAAAAAAGAGGATGGACCTGTAAGATGTTCTGCACTTCTAGGCTTTCTGTAGAGGGAATGAAACTATTTGTAACAGTCATTGAGCTTCTTCAGGGTTAGGGCTTTTACTAACAGTGATTTCTCAGTGATTCAAACTAAAAGAATCTTACTCATACTAACTCCAGTGGTGTAAGAGCTGCCTGTAGTCTAGGCCTGCTAAGAGCAAAGGTAGGAAACTGAGAGCTAAAGTGAGGATACAGAACATCTCCTCCATTTCCATGCAGCCTAGGTGCCAACTGGTGACTGGTTTGTGCACTATAAAGAGCCACAGAGCTGTAGCAGGTTGGGCTGCTAATCACAGAAAAAACTCGGGCTGCAGCATGAGGCAAATGAGCTGTGGCATTGCCCCAGAGGGACCTAGAGCTAAGGTCAGCAGTACAGGGTCTTCCTTCTCTTCTGGTCTGCTGTGTGCCCAGAGGAAAGGCAGGAAAGGCCATTCCGGCTGGCCTTGCTCTGTCTGTCCTGATGTAAAGCTTTGTAGCAGCCAGCTTTTCTTGAGGCTTCAGGGGACCTCACAAGACCTCTGTTTCTAGGCTCTGCTCATCCCCCTGGTCAACATGAAGAGTTTCTGGTCTCTTTCTCTCCCTCTTCTTGCTGCCCACAACAACTCAACTAAGTACAGAAAGGGAAACAAGACAACCTAAGATGCCCCTGGTGCTGAAGCATTGCTTGAGCTGCTGTTAAGGTGTTAAGAGCGATGTGAAATGTACTGGGAAGACAGGAGACTTCAAGACTCTGCTTTCTCCACTGTGTACCAGGGATCCTTAAAGTGGCAGCTCTGAGGTTCATTCAGACCTGGGGATGCTATGTGAGAAGAGGCTTTGAAATTGTTGCAGGGAGAGACTCAGTAGGACTTTTATCTAGAAGAACCCTTTGTGTGGAGCACCCCCAGGTTTCTTGCAGAACCCTGCCTAAAGCTTTTCTCCAGGAGTTTGTTGAAGCAAACCATAGAGTGTTGTAGGGTGTTCCTGCCTCTCACTGAATTGACGTTTTTCTAATGAGGAAAAAAGGGTGTTTTTGTTGGAAAAATTCCAACTCAAGTTTCAAGAGCAGATTAAGGCACAAGTGCTTAAAGGCTTTTCTGCGATGTGTTATCTTCTGTCATAAGATTACATCAAAGACTCAACTATCATCTAAAACAAGAAATGTTCTGAAAATTGTCGCCCTCATAGGTGTGACAAAAAACTTAAAAATATATAACCTGAGTGCAGCCAGTAGCTGGTGCCTGTTTTATGTCTGCAGGCAGCTGAAAGAACATTGTCAGGGATATATCATCCAGTTTATTTCCCTGGGGTTTTAGGTTTGACCTTCTGCTGAAGTCTCTTTGGGAAAGGGGTTTCAATGCAGCTACTACTAAAGCCTGTGGTAGTCCTGGCTCTTTCAACCAAGAGTTAGCTGCAGTTTCCCTGAGGGAAAATGCTCAGGGAAATCAGAAGTGAGAGTGGCCCTTTTCTGATGGCATCTACCACTGCTTGATGGGACTGGAACCTGAGGAGTGTGCATCATGTGGGAGG